CAAACATACACATCATTGTGTGTGAACTGGACCTACAGATATCATCTCTATATCAGCAAAAAGACATATATTGTGGTCTTGATACGTAGGGCACTACGTCCAGATTTTGTGTGATATTCACTGGAAATCCACTCTAGTAATTGGTGAATAGGAAGAAGTTATATTACTTTACACATAATATTAACCTTATGATAGTGAACTTTGCAGAAGGAGTTGCAGGTAGATGGTGCTCGTTTATTTGATGTTGATGCATCTAACCAAATTGTGTTAATTTCACGAAGGCTTGCTGGGATAGGTGGGACACAAGCGCTTACCAAAGTAAAGTTTCTGGGGTTGGATAAAGTTTGTGCTTCTGTTGCATTATATTTGTATATATTTATAACACAGGAACTGCTCTTGATCTTTCTTAAATATGGTTCTGCAGTTGAGTTTGATACCTCCGTATGACAGAGATGATATTCTCCTTCCTAGATCTATAAAAGTCATTAGGGATCTACGCATTTGCCCTACGAACAGTGACCTTGCACTGTTTGCTTGCCTAGGGAAGAAGTTGTCAGTTCTCAGGTTGCATTGCGGTTAACTTCCTCAACTGTTATTTTAGTACATTCTTCATATATTTCTCCTGGTTGACACTTGTGTTATTTGTTACAGTATGGAAAGCAACAGTGTCATCCTCGCCTATGATCTACCGGTAAAATCTTGATCTGTTGTTTATATTGTTTTGTACTAACTTCAAAAACTCTTGTGTTTCCTGTATTATGCAGTGTGAAAGAACTTTTTCACATGATTATCTACGCATGTTCAGGTTCAGCATGACATACTGTTAAAGTTATATGCTTGGCATAATATGTGTTAATCTGTCTGTTTTACTCTTCTGTTGTTTGTTCTTCATGTTGACATTTTTGCTTGCAGGCTGCTGCTTGGACATGTTCCTGGGATCTCAATGACTCGAATTATGTATATGCTGGATTACAGGTCTGACCCTACTTTCCATTTTAAGTATTTTGGAAGGTGTTACTTGTATACCCTCTGCTTTAATTTCATTTTTCTTATTCTTGCAGAATGGCTCTCTTTTGGTGTTTGACTTGCGCCGAACTGCAGGGCCTGTTGCAACGATGAAGGGGCTGACAAACAACCCAATTCATACTGTACATTCCCTTCCAAATAATTCAGCTCTACCTTCTGGTGCTAGAACAGTGCTGTCCGCTTCTTCAATTGGCTTATGTCTGTGGAACGTTGATAATGCTGAAGAAGGGTGAGTTCAAATATGTGTCCTGTTCTTTCTTGCACAGCTATGAAATCATATGGATCTCAAAATATTCTTGATTACCCCGTCTGATTTTATCAATATGGTTTTTAAAGAAAGAAAAAAGAAGAATTCAATTTGTACCGTGAGTGATGCCATTTAACATGTTAGTCTGGTTTGTTTGCTTGCTTTTGATAAACCAATGGTCTGTTTGCATGTTTGTAATGACCTTTTAGAGCAAGTCACAACTAAAAGGCGAGAATACACAAGAATGTTTTTTTCCCTGGTTCATTTTCTCCTATTTAAGTTGTTTATTTGCAGTCTCATCAAGAAAGAAAAAAAGAATACGCTTTGCTCTGTTGATTGGATGCTGTATTTTCTTTATCCATGTATTTCCTCTTGTAAAGGGATGATATTTTGGATCGCAACAAATGAAATTCTCTTGCTTTTTCATTTTAAATATGTTCCAAATAGTTGGTCAACTACTGCACGGCTCTGTTCTAACAGAATTTAAACTTTATGAAGGCCGATATTGGTTCCTCAAACGGAGAATCAAGGAGTTTGCATATCTCTTGCTTATTGTCCTAGCAGTGACAACATTGTCGCTTCTTATCGTCCCAAAGTGGAAATGTCCGATGAGACAATCTTCTCTCAACCACCGCTTACTCCTTCCCGTGGTGGCATTGGACAAGGAACAGTGGGTTCCCTTGTTTTACTAAAGAGAGCAGACAGCAGCAACTGTTTTAAAAGGTTGGGATCTGCATGCACCAACGTCTGTGATATCGGACTGCCAAAATCTGCAATCATCAACTTAGGAAATCATCGCACATTGTTCGCATCAGAGGATAAGTTAAGTTCCAAATTGGTTTTAGAAGAGTTGCCATCTTTTACAACCTTCCAGAGCCTTAAGTTGCATAAAGATCCTGTTCGCGATCTCAAGTACACTCCTGCTTTGAAGAAAGGTCTGCTTGGTTGTTTAAGCGGTGACATACTGCAACTCTTCAGTACCAGGCTTTCATGAAATAGATCATTTGCAGTTATGTAATTGCTCAATTTATGTATGTTTTTTTTTTGAAGTACCGATGCTGTAATTGTACTGTATAATATAATTTAATGCCTTTATAGTGTTTAGGTTTTACATATCTTTGCCTGCATTTATCCTGTGAAGCAGTTGTGCCCTTATATTGACAATTGAAGTGCAAATGTTTATAAAATCTACATGGCGCTTTATATTGGGCTGGCTCTAAGCAGCCATGATGAGTCATGACAATTGAAAGTGCCAAGGTTTATATATAGGTTCTATAGTGCTTTGTTTTGATGATATCAATACAACTATATCATGAATTCATTATCCACTTCCATTATTATTAATAATATTCTTTTGGAATTTAGAATGACTTTTTAACATTGAGAAGATAAATATTACTACTAAATTTATCAGTTGAATTTGTTTTTGTCCCACAAGCTTTAGGCCTCAAAAATAGTTAATTGCTGGTAAACACTTGGGCATTTAAATTGGCTTGTTTTTGGTGAGCTTTAGTCATTCAAGGGAGCTTCTACAATGAGGAGTTAAATTGAGGAGTTAAAGTGAGGAGACCGATCCGACCGTCAAAACATTTAAAATATTTAAGTCCCATGATTTCTTCACATTTGTTGATGGTGAGATTTGACCTCCTCAAATAACCTCCTCACTTTAAGTCCTCATTATAGCCTTTCCGGTCATTCAAACCACAGAACTGGCCAAAATAACTAAGTAATTGGCCCATGCTAATTTTGGTCCAAACGATATCCAACTTCATCTAAATATAATTCCTTCCTTTCGAGGAAAAGGTAAAATAAAAAATAAGCATTCACAACCAGAAATAGAGGGGAAGAAAAACTCAAATAAATTTGAAAGGTCCCACATTCTGGGCTTTTTATTTAGAGAAAATTGCCGTACACTCCTTTCCGTAACCCTCAGGATTCCCCCAAAAAAAAAAAACAAAAACAAAAACAAATTCCGACCTGCCGGATTCGAACCAGCGACCTAAGGATAACCGATGGATACTCCAACTACAGTCCTCCGCTCTACCAACTGAGCTAAGGTCGGCTTGTTAAACAAATGAGTGCGAAATTAATTTATTACCATCCAAACTGCCACCTATTAAAATTGAGCACAAACAACTATTTTGTATAAAAGGGAAAAAATTTATAATAAGAAGAAAAAAAAAAAAAAGTGTTTCAAAAATTCAAGTTGCTTGCTGACATATCCAAAAAAAAAATTTAATAATAATAATCCCATCGTTTCTGAATGGAAAATGCCATATCAATGAGAAACGATGGGATAAGAATAGTGATTTTTTAATAATATCATAGCAAAAACAAAACTCATCAAACCCATAAAACAACAAAACTCCACTATTTATATTGTATGCTTTCTCATGGACCCCAGAAAACGTCTTCCAATGTTTCTTTAATAATAGTTAAAAGAATAAATAATAATAATGTTAATAATTTTCTGTTAACATCAATGAGTGAAATGGGAATTTCAGTGCCCAATAATATTTCTAAAAAATAATTTAATTGTAAGTTGCAAAAAATAGTTTAATCAAGAAAACTCATCACAATGAATTATATGCTTTATGAATCATAGTGTTGGGTGGACATCATCTTTGCAGCTGCTCTCAAACCAGACATATTTTCATCATCAGATTGTTCATAAGATGCCAAAAGAAGAAGGGCTTGAGGGGAAGAGGAGGATATGGACCTTTGCTTCAACCATATTAAAGCTTCAAAAGCTCCCACCATCTACTTCATTTGGGCATCTTTTGGGCCTCTTATGCCTTCTGCATTATTGTTGCTCACATCATCTCAATCATTTTCAAAGGTCGTGTTGATTGCAGGAAAGAAACATGTTTCCCAAGCATTATATGAGCTCCCTTCATTTTGGTTTTACTTACAACTGTGTGATGCAGGTCATGTTCAATGGAAAAAAAAAATCTGCTTATAAATATTTGGATGATAAAACAATTCTAGGGTTCATATTTTTGGTTGGTTTAGAATTTAGATGCAGGTCATGTCATTTTTTGTTAGCATATCATGTCAATTTTCATGGAAATTAAATCAAACAACTAATCTCTGACACATCTGGTGCAAGACAATTCCACATGCAGCATGCTGCTGCTGCTGCAATGCTCTTTCTGCTTTTTACATCTGACTCTGAATTCCCCTGGTTTTTAATTTGCAGTTATCCTTGTTCACTCTCTGCCATTATTTCAAGTGGCCTTCACATGCAACAAGACTTATAATGGCCTTCCTCTTTCTTTCTTTCTTTCTTTTTTTTCTCTGTCATTTTTTTTTTCCGAGAACAATTTATACTGGCCTTCATATGAGAATACTTGATCCACCACACAATTGGAAAATTGTTCTTGGGAAATGTGCTCACTGACTATTGCTGCTTGCCCTTCTCTCTATTTGTTTTTATTTAAATCACACTGCTGGAGCTTCAGAGTTGAGAAGATGACCAATAATAAAGTGCCCCAGTTTCTGTAGCAGTCACTGGGACAGAAAACAATACCAGAAAAATAGAAAAACAGAAAGAAATGATTTTGCATTATTTAAAAATGACAAGTGCTTGGCTGCACACATACACTTGCTCAAATCCCATATCCTCCATTCTTTGGGTTCATGACTCAGGGCCGTGAATCCATGGCCTTTTCCTTCTTTTTTGTAAATTGCCAATGTACACCAAATGCACCATCAAACAAAAATGGAAAACATACAATGTACACCAAATGTTGCATAACAAAAATGGAGCACACAAATTTTCTTTCTTCTTTTGGAGCCTTGGATGTTCATATTTCCTTGCATTCTGTTTTTGGCAAAGTAATGACCCATCTCTTGGCAATCTCACACACAAGCTTTTTCCTCTTTAAACAAAAAACCATCATAAAAAAGCACTTAAATGAAGTGAAAATTGAGGGGAACTTTCCAATATGAAGCATATGGCGTGACACTTTCACTTTTAGTGCCAACACTCAGGTGTTAGGGAATGGTCCCTCTTGTAGTCCTTGCAATAGTCATATACCAAATGGTGGGTTTGAACCCACCTCATGACCCTGTACTGCTGTTGCGTCAGCCCGCCCGACTGGAACGGGGAGGCAGATACCGGGCGGCACCGGGCCGGGGAATAGGCGCTGCAACCGCCGGCTTTGAAATTGGTATACTTTGCAACAAATGGTTGATATCTGTAATCTGCTTTGTATTTCCCATCTTCAGTTGCCCAAGATGAGGCATCCCATATTGAGCCATACAACCACATTGGCCTCAAGGGAAAGGTTGCTACACTTTTCCTAGGGTACCTCCTTATGGGCACATCATCCACCAAAAATCTGTAACAATAATGAATGTGGCATAAATTTTAACTATAAGACAATTAACCTGACAACAAGATAGATATGGCATATAATCAAAACAGAGATTAAATATTATATTATTGACTCAGTGGCCAGCAAGAGGAACCAATAGCTTTGTACTATTAGATTTGGATTTATTATCTTTTTTTTTCCCCTCTGTTTTTTTATTTTGTCAATCAATAGATAGAGACTAATATAATGGAGACAGCTTTTTCTTTCCAAAATGGCATCCCTTCATTTGCTGCATATCATATTTGAGTATGGGGTCTTAAAACTCCACATCATTGACAAAGGGTCTCAACTCAATGAGGATATATAGGCTTTTCACCATTCCAAATCTCATCTCTTTACTCTCTCTCTCTCTCTCTCTCTCTCTCTCTCTCTCTATTTATTATTGCCACTGTCATATCGCTTGGCTTTTTCCTTAATTTCAGAGAAAGAATTATTTGGCATGATCAGGTTATTACTCAACTTTGAAAAATAGAAAATGGCAGAAATACCAGCATTTCAAAATATCAATCAATCATTAAAGCTCAGTAGACAATGGATGGATAGGTTTCTTTCCTGTAAAGTTTTTGCAAGTAAGAAATAATTACTCACATGAAAAGTTCTAAGTTAATCTTTGATTTCAAGCACAGCACAAAACTATGATCACAAAAAAACTTACATGATCTCCTTTGGGCTCCACAATATAGCATAGTGATGAAAAGCCTTAGTGGGATCAAACCACAAATGAAACTTCATCTCTCTGCCAATGATTTTTCCATCCCCACTTCCTCTGATGTAAACATTTGTTTGTAAAGTGTAAGGCTTCCCAAATGTAGTTCCCAGAAACTCAATGTCGACTTCGTCATGGTACCCCGGATGAGCTTCACTGTTTGAAAGCTGCAAGAAGAATAAATATAATACTGATCAGTTAATCAAGGCATTTAGCAGACACAATTATACATAGAATTTGAGAAAATAATTAAGCTAAAAATGTGGGGTTCATTAATTTCTCACATAGAAAGCTGTTATAACTCCTGCTGTGTAACCAGTTTGAAGTTTAATGGAGGCACCAAAGTAGCCGGACCTAAATGGACGAACTGACTTGAACCCACTTCCTGTTGCAATCAAATGGAGACAATTATGAAGAAATTTTAATTAACAGGTGCACTGGTAATTAAGGAAGCATTAACATAAATATGTGAACTAGAAAGTGGGTGAGGTGAGGTGAGGGAGACCTGAGGTCCTGTCAAGCCAGATTGTTAATGCATGTTGGTCTAAGCTTTGATGCTGAGGACCCCAGAGAGTTCTAAACCCTTTATAAAAGCTCATAGACCTGAATTTAGAACTTGGCCAGTAGCCAGGTGATGGTGGCCAATCAGCATTGCTTGCAGGGACCAAAAGAATTAGGAGGAAGAGCAAGAGAGCCATGAAATATGAATGGGAAGATGAGGAAAATGTATAGTGAAGATGGAATAATTGGCTCTGTATAAATGCAGGGCACAGAGAGAGAGAGAGAGAGAGGTAGCTGAAGACCGAGTGTATATATAGGAAGAATATGGTAGTGCAGTTTGATATGTATACATATATTATATATATTATAAGAACATTATTACTAGAATTAACCATCAAAACTTTGTATGATATAAACCATACTTACTATTTATATATATATATATATATATACTTTGATTTTCTTCTCTCTCTCTCTCTCTCTCTCTCTCATCCCAATTCACACAACTACTTTCTATCCTACCCTTAATGAGGAAACATGTTTGCTTTGGTTGCAAGGTTGGAAAGCTAGGAAAAGAGGATGTGATGCAGAATGGGTAGATGGGTGTCTCTTAAATGTGCCCTTTTTTCTTTTCCCTTTCTCTGTGCTGTGCATATGTAGTTTTGTGATTCCACAGGAACGAACTTGGGATAAAAATCGGAAAGCTACATGCAATTTCTGTCCCTGCCTTTAAAGCAAACCTTGTTTTTTTTTGTAGGATTCAACAAACCTTGTTGGATTACCCATATTGTGTCTTCTTTTTACCTTTCCCCTTCTCTTGCCAGTGTGTCAGCTCCCATGCAGTGGACTGTGGAGTAGTGTCAAATGTTTGTTAGTGCCAATAATAGATCTTACACAAAATTTATTCATAATCTTATGTGTTTTTTACCCAAAATTTTATATATCGAAAGACAAGACTTCACGTTTTCGATGTGGATATACTCTCAACAATTTACTTTAAAAAAAAAAAAATTATCGAAGTAAAATAAAATATTTTATTCTTCTCTCCCCCTCTTCATAATCAAAGCCAACAGTAGCTATAATCATCAAGATGGGAAGAGAAGAAATTTGTTATATAGTTAATAAGTTTAAAAAAAAATAAAAAATTATATGACACAGATAGAAGCATCCTGATCATTATCGGCCAGCTTGGGATAATATATATGAATGCAGAGAGATGAGTTTTTTTTTCCATTATTTTTTGGGGTCTGAATACAGAGATGGATTTGAACGTGTGAAGTTCATCAATGTAGTGGGGCATGGGGCTATGCAAGATGGGACCAATGCATGATTTGATTACAAGGCAATAGATCGATCGATTTTGACTCATGAAGTGAGCTACTGTACGGTTCTTCATATTTTATTCATATGTTGATTGATTGCCCAAACAACAAAATTTCTTCCATAAAAGTTGCACAAATGATATAACATTATTGAGGCTAAGGCACACTCTGTGTGATATTTACTATGCATATCTAGTTTTTATTTTATTTTATTACTAATTTTTTGTATCATTTTGTTGAAATTTTTTTCCAATTTACTGTAACCCCTAAAATAGTCCAGATGCCATATATCGTGCCCAATTAAATTTCATACACCAATTCTTCTGCAAAACGCGTAATTTGATTCTCTTTTTTTGGTGATCCTTGTAACAATTTGATTGATACAACACATTTGGTCTAGACGGCCTATCTGTTTAGTCATGAAATTAGCAATGACTGAAGGGACGTTAAACTGCATTAACCTTTAAAAAACTGCATGCAGTCCTTTAATTAAATGTCAGTCGTCCGAGGAATAAACATGCACTTTAGGCAAAGTGTTTATTGAATTAGGTCATTAAGTTCCATTGCACTTAAGTTCGAATCTCCCTCCTTGTAAATTATAGTGGTTTAGAATCCCTTATTACGGGGGGAGGCCTGATGACAACAATATTATTAGTTGATAAGGTGAAGCAAACTAGTTTCGAGTCATTTAATATGTAGCTAAAAGGGATTCAAGCATATAGAATAATTTCTTACATTTTGACAGAAATATAATTTATAAGGCTGCTTTCATTTACTTTCCTAGACAGAAATGTTGGAGCTTTTAATGGCTGGATTGACCAGTAAGCTTAGGGATCCACCCACCATTTAAATACCCCAAGGAGCTCGATCCTTCCTGTACCATTTTCCTTCAAAGATGCTGACCGAAACCCTACACATATCTTTCCTTGTCTTGCATGATAATACAATAACCCTAACCCTTCTCTCTCAGAATCAAACATTTGATTCTGTGGACCATCTCAGAAGATACAACCCCAACACAAACCAACCATGCATCTTAATCTTCTACACAAATATATACATGTAACTTGAAGTCTAGATGGCCCCAGAAAATGGTACGTACGACCCAAAATCTTAGCAGGCAGCCACAAAATTTGAAACTTCAAAGACAAGCAGACGGGGCTGAAAGGCACACTTCAATAAAACAACATGAATTTTAGGCTGCAATTTAACTTAAACCACATTCTTCTGATTAATACATGTTTGATTTTGTGCTGCCTCTCTCTCTCTCTCTCTCTCTCTCTCTCTCTCTCTCTCTCTCTCCTGTAGGCTCGCACTGTTTTGTCGGCCAAAGATTAAGGTGGGGCCCAGTTGACCGACAAATCAAGAAGCTCATGAAACTTGGACGTACGTATATGATCTGTATTCTGTACACGCACGTACCTTTGCTTCGGGTAAATTGTACATATGCTTCTTCCTTTCCAGAAATATAGGTCACGGGTCACGTCAATATCTCTATTAAAAACGAATTTTAGTTAATTAGTCAATCCATGGAGACTAGATCGTGATTTATCATGCCATCTTAAAATCTGGGCTCTACTTGCTTTCCATATACATAGTGTTTCACACGCAAAAACAAACAAGAAATCCTCCATTTTAGGTTGTCGACGTTATATATCCGAATCATTTGTCAAGTCTGCTTTTTGTCTGAACATTCAATCATGTACATGATGAGTTTCCTTTTTGGCAATTCTTCACGCGAAGCATAGCTAAAACGAAATTATATGTCGACGTTTGACAAAGTTTTAGCAGTCATTTTTTCAGTGCGGGATTGGAATAGAAATGCAAGTGACATAACCTGCAACTGTATCGAACTTCTATACAATTGATTGCGTTGTGTGGTAGGCACCTAGTCTATATACTAAGGGTTCTTTGCTTGAATAGCAATCAATGGTATGCATGTCCAGACCGAAAACGGGAAAAAGAAAAAGAAAAGTCAAAACAATGCCAAAAAAAAAACTGAAACTTAAAGATCAAGTAAGTAAGAGATTGCAGTACTCGAACAAATAGTAACTTCGAAACTAAGAGCTTCTGAGTATGTGGTTTGTTAGGCATGGCCCACGCTTCAATTCTGACCCAAACAACAATACAATAATTGCAACAACAAAAAAGAATAAAAATAAGTAGTCGGTCATATCTTTTGCTGTTATATTTAACCCAAAAAATAAAAATAAAAAATATGCGCGCGTACATATATATATATATATCTAGCGCTGTTATTATTTGACTTTGTTGTTATAATTAAGTTGCTATCGAATAATTGTAATAGTTGAAAATTTATATCAAATTTATAGTGACGCGGATCGATTCATATGTATATATAACGGCGTTATTATTTGACTTTGTTGTTATAATTAAGTTGCTATCGAATAAAAGCTTGTCGGTCTAATAATAATAGACCAAATATTAATTATAGGGTGATAGTGCAAAAGGATACTGCAAAATAATCCAGAACCGCTATAGATTGTGTGTGGAACTGATGAAATCGAAAGGTTAAAAGCAGAGATAATACAAATGGGACACATTAATAATTAATAATAATCACGTCATTAGATGCTAAATACATCGTGCATATAGGACAAGGAACCTTTCCATAAAGCTTTGAATTGATTGAAGACGGTATATATGAACAAAACAATCCAAATTTTGAGACGGCCATGCATTTATACTTTGCCCCACCGACACCTCGGTGAGCTTTGGAAGGGCTACAAGCCTATGCTATCAAAAAAAAAATTGTTCACTAAGGACAAGATGCGTGCAAATTAGGCTACCCATAAAATAAGTATATAAAAATTGTATCCAATTTTCAACCCTTCAATTTCTTTTCTATTCTTTTATAATCATACTTGTCTTGTTATCAAGAAGGAATAAGTGTTTTAACACAAAAATTATGAGCCCTACACTTCTAGTACATAAGCGCAATGTGTTCCTCTTGTATCCACATGTGGTCCATGTACACGTTACTTCATCTTTCGACTTTCGGAGAAAAATAAGGTAGTATTAAAGACATAAACTTTAAAATCCTAATTGATGTGACAATGTTTCATTTGTTTTTGTGTGGACTTAGTGCCAGTTTGACGTTACTTATTTGGGGTAATAAGTGATTTTAAAAAAAATTTGGGAAGCCTAGCCCGTTTTAGTAAACTATGAGAAAATCACTTATTGTTAAAAATTGATGTGAGAGAAAACTATAAGGGAAAACAACTAATGATGTGCTTTCATTTTTTGATTATGCAGAAATCACTTTCAAAGATGAGCTGGGTTTAATGATTATGCTGGAATCATTTTCTAATTATGCAAAAATCAGTACTAACAACACTTTTAACAAAAAATTTACCAAACGGCAAACTGTTTTATTTCATAGTAAATCTGACAGCGATTATTTCCATAGCATAGCAATGCCAAATTGACCCTTACTCTGAATCTTATTTATTCACAATAAATAAGAAATTTTCATATTAATCAAAATTTGAGGTGATAAGTGGTTGTCTTAAGCCCCACTGTTTTATCAATTTCTTTTCCTACTAATTTAGCAGGTTGACATATGATGATTGGTTAGGAAGAAAATATAAAACGAGAAGCAATGACCAGTGAAGGCCGAGCTTGACTTTGGTCCATTTAGACTAAATCAGCCTCACAGATAAAAGCCCAAAATCTGAGAGAAAAGCATTCAAGCCCAATTTTTATCTCCAACAATTTGTATAATATGCAGTACTTGTTTAGAGACATTTCTGCAAGAAATGTGCTTCAATTAAACTCCTTTGCATTTATCACACATTTTTGTCAAGAATGTTCTCTTTTTAACTTTTTATATGATCACCTACTACCTCTTAGTCTAGTAATTTTCTTTACAATGTTAAAATAAATTGCAAATTCGAACCCCGCTTCCTAATATTATTTGATATTGAAAAGAAAATGACT